TCAGCTCACGATCGCCCATAGGATCGAGACCCGTGAATTCGACCACACGATCTATCGAGTCCTGCTGTGAAGTCTCCATGGCTGGGGCTGAAAATTCAATCGTCTTCTATGGGTTCCAGCAAGCTCAGTCTGTCGATCGGACACTCCTCCCACCATGAGGGGGTACCAAAGAGCTTAATTCGATAGGTGTTGCCCACTAAAGATAGGATGATGCAAACAATAGTCTAAGCAGTTTCCTCTAGGCTGATGCTGATAGTGATGACTATGTTTTTGACGAAACACGCTTGTCGACTGTTTGTTGTATTGAATAAATGACGATCTAAGCGATGAGCTTCCGCAGTGTACAGTTGCGCTGCAGTGGAGGGGTACGTACTGTGGGAGAGATAAGATAAAGAATTTCTTGGCGTGGACTTACACGTGCCAGCCTCCAACTTTAGCAGGCAATTCGAGGGAATCGACCTTAAGTGAGAGACTTGAGGTAGATACATTAGAACGATGTACTTTTATTTCTCTAGCTAAGGTATATAGAAAGAAATAAACCCAGCGGTATTAGCCATTTTTGATTTGTTAAATGTATGATTGCTTTGACAATAGCTCCACAACAAATATGTCATGTCCAACTCCATCAAACAATCACCGTTGAACATTCTATTAGGTACCTACCTAATCAAGCTTCAAGTATAGATTCTAAAGCAGCTACTCGCATATGGAACCACTAATATTTAAAGTGACTGTGCAATTGAGCTGCTGAATCCTTCCCCTCGAGTTACCCCAGAGTCTCCCGTATAGCATGCAAACCATACTACCTATGTGACATAAGATCTAGATGTTCGAGGTCCCCTTAGAGGCATGGTGCGTGCTACATAGGAGACCTTAACACGCAAATAACAATTTTTTTTTTTTCTTTTAGATAACTGTAAAAGGAAATTTAGCCAAAGAAGCTGTCAACTCATATCGGAACCATTAGAGCATCTCATCCAAGTGTGTTAAGCTCAGAGGTTAGAAGGTTCTAGAAGCTTCGACCACGGACCAGGGTTGTCGGGAATAGCTGCAGCTTACAACAGGGAACGGAATCCAGTCACAGTAACAAACCTCGATTCACGACAGATCTGTGCAATGTCTCACAGAGCACAAAGATGGCAAAAACATCATAGCATGGGTACACCCATACAAATCATTCATGCAACCCCATAACCAGGCTTCATCATAGATCCGCTCAAGCTTCCAGCAACCATCTTAAGCTCCAAGTTGGGGCTCTCGAACTGGATTTCTGGCGTCTGGGGCGTCGTCTCCACCACGGCTAAGTATCGTCATAGGTCAATTATCCCTGTCAAGTTGTCAGGTATCGACAGATTGAGCCCGACACGAGGACGAGAGAGCATGACCCTTGATGGTGTAGTTAGTGTAGGTAGTTTGTGGAATTGACTTTAGAGAACTTTGCAAAGAGAGCATTCCCAGTAGCATACTTCCTAGGTACACAATACAGTCGAACAAAGAATAGATGATAGCAGCAGATGTATAGGTACTTCTCGTTATTGTTCGAGAGATATCGTCGATCCACTCGACGTCACCCCCACCTGGTAGACTGGAGGTCAGCCAGCCTCTATTCCATATCAAGTTCCTTTCACATTGCGGTGTCTTTTACCCCTACACTTTAGAAGCTTCCACAAGGTCCCATGCCCCAGTATTTCCCAGCAGTGGCTTCTGGAGATTGTCACGGTAGCATGGCGTAGTGCTTTCTCGTCCTTGACTCTGAAGCGTCACTGGACTGATCTTTTAATCCTCACCTGCGGATTCCCACTCATCTTTTGTGAACTCACTCTTGCACTAAACCATCCCCTCTCTTTAACCTCACATCATATCACCTCATTCAACCTAGAACGAAAACCTCTTCTCATCATACTGAAGCGCACTTTTGGTGTTTGTTTTTCACTGTTTCAACAAACAATCAGCAATAAGCAATTCTTGATATTGCCACCCATTTCTTCTTGTTATTTTCTCGATCGATCGAACCCATTTGGCTCGCCAAAGTTTAGCTACATCGCGCACCTAAATAATCTTGAAAAACACAACTTCTAGCGGGCGCGATCATGGTCAAGGAGACGAAGCTCTACGACACCCTCAACGTCAAGCCTGAGGCAACCCAGGACGAGATCAAGAAGGGATACAAGTAAGTACACAATCTCTACACGGAGCTGCGGCAGCGCAATACACAATACCGTTCTCTCACCAGGTTCTTGCTTTTGCAAATGCACAAGTAAACCATGGTTCGTATTCAGCGAATTGACGAAAGAGATTCTCTTCGCTGAATTAGGAACCACTGCGCATTCCGTCTAGCATCATGATCTGGTCAACACCGCTAACCACACCACCTACAGGAAAGCAGCCTTGAAATGGCACCCAGACAAGAACAAGGATAGCCCTGATGCGGCTGAAAAGTTCAAAGAATGCTCACAAGCATACGAAATTCTTTCCGATCCCGAGAAACGAAAGATTTATGATCAGTACGGCCTCGAATTCCTACTCCGTGGCGGTACCGCGCAACCCGAAGGTGGCGCCGGTGGAAACCCCTTCGCCGCTGGAGGCATGCCTGGCGGGTTTGAAGGCTTCAACTTCCAAGGCGGTATGCCCGGTGGAGGCGGCACCCGAACCTTCCACTTCAATACCGGCAGCGGTGCTGGCGGCTTCGGCTTCAGCAACCCCGAAGATATCTTTGCCGAATTCATGCGTAACGGATCTGCTGGTGGTATGCACGGCGGCGACGAAGACGATATCGCTGGCATGTTTGGCGGATTTGGCGGTGCTGGTCCTCGAAGCCGCAGTTCACGCACACGCTCAGGCTTCGAGCCTCGACCTAGAGAAGCTACTCCTGAAGTTACCACAGTCGAGCGGCCCCTGCCTCTAACGCTTGAAGAACTCTTCAACGGTGTGACCAAGAAGATGAAGATTAAGCGTAAGACTTACGATGAGACCGGAAAGAGAGTCCAGACCGACCAGATCCTTGAAGTACCTATCAAGCCGGGCCTGAAGAAGGGTTCCAAGATCAAGTTCAACGGAGTCGGCGATCAAGTAGAGGGAGGCCGTCAAGATCTTCACTTTATTGTCGAAGAGGTAAGCAGACCGTGTCATAATTCTTTCTACGAAACAATGACTAACAAACCTACAGAAGGAACATCCTCTCTACAAGCGCGAGGATAACGACCTTGTCCATGTGGTAACCCTTGATCTCAAGGAGGCCTTAACCGGCTGGCGAAGGACCGTGACAACGATCGACGGTCGACAGCTCAACCTCGAGAAGGGTGGCCCAACTCAGCCCAACAGCGAGGAACGTTATCCTGGCCTGGGTATGCCCATCTCTAAAAAGCCTGGCCAGCGCGGCGACTTCGTCATCAAGTACAAGATCAACTTCCCAGCAAGTTTGACTGCCGATCAGAAGCAGAAGCTCAGGGAGATTCTGTAAAGAGGCGCCGTCGCCGAACCTATCTGCAACTCTTACCGGATACTAGACGTTCGCTTGGGGAAATTTCCAACCTCAGCAGCATCGGGATTCGGTTAGGAAGATTTGCACTACATTCAATTCAAATGGTGTTTTGGCGTTTGGGGTTCTAATGAATAATGAAAAAGAGTGGAAGTTTGACTGCACAAGCCTTAGCGTGGAAGGTCAGGCCTGGTTGCCCAGAGTACACAAGCGACATGAGAATGATAGGAAGTTGACCAGCATACGGCTTTTTGATATCCATTTGACGGCTGTTCTAATTGGTGTCTTGGTGGAAACGATGTCATATATACTATAGTAGCTGTCTCTAATAGTACGACAGATTCAAGATCGAAAGAGAGTGATGTGCTGGATGCCCGAGGAACTATCCGCATGAGGGAAAAACAACTCATCTGGTACGATCGCGATTTGGGAGGGTAAATACTCTTTGTATCGCTTAATACGGTATGTTACAAATCCCGCAACTGGTAGATGACGAGGGCGTTTATTGGAGGTCCACCGCCGTTGAAGAGTGACAATGTTTACATGGACCATGCATGCTGATAGAAGACGGACTATGGACGAACTCTCCGAAGCCTGAACCGCCATATCTTTGTACTCACTTACATATGCTTATGCGAGGTCATCACTGTAGGTCGGTCTAGTGCATACTGAGCATAATCCATGATTGTCAGAGGCTCAAAGAGCAAAAGGCGCTGATGCGGGCCGGTTGACTGGAAGAAAACGGGTCCCTCTTTTTAGTGTCATATTCTAACAGGGATTCATAGTGCTTTGATGACGACACTGGGCGGTTCTTAGTCGGACCTTACCTTGGCTGAATGGAGGGGGAGGGGCATTTGATTCGATTTGATGTTGATGTTGGGTTGACTTGCGAGGGGTTTGTTTTGTCTGACTTCCACGTGTTGACGATCGAAAATTCTTTGAAGCGCAAGCCGTTTCTTTTCTTTGGTTCTGCGAGCATACAGAGGAGTATTTTATCCGCACAAATAGCTCTTCTAGCTGTTCGATTTAGTACACAAGTTAAAAAGACATTGGATTTTAGAAAGCCCTCCCTGCTGTAGCTAATAAGTCCCCTTGAGGTGGCTACCTATTCATCAACGCGGGGTTTCTTGTTGAATCTTACGCATGAGGTGCAGATGCATATCAAGCAACCTGTAGAGTTCATTGCAAGACAACCCTGGCAACCCCCGGCATCACACAGTCGCACCTGCATATTCCAATTACAGCATATTGCAGTTACGGGCAGTCGTAGTAGCAATGGCAGGTGCAGTTCCCGTTACAGTTCGAATGTCCCTGCTCCGTTGAACCAAGGCACGTCCTCCATAAAACCTCCGTTCCCCCACAGTAGCTCCGTCACTGTCTTTTCTTCCTTCACCTCCATCTATTCCTTGCTCCACCTGATTTCCACAAGGTTCTTCTCTTCTTCTCTTCTTAATACATCCAATTCCTCTGGGAACTCGTCTTTGCTTCTTCTCTAGAACTTTCTTTACCACAATCCGCCAAAATGCCCGAGGTATGTTGCTCATGCAATCTCGATCTTATTCGCGCTTATACTGACAATTTCCAGATCAACACCCTCCTGTTCGATTGCGACAACACCCTCGTCCTCTCTGAGGAGCTTGCCTTCGAGGCTTGCGCTGGCCTCATTAACGAGATCTGCGAGGCTCGTCAAGTCGAGATGCGCTTCACTGGCGAGACCCTCATCAAGGAGTTTGTCGGTCAGAACTTCCGCGGCATGCTCACCACCCTCCAGAAGAACTACAACATCGAGATCTCACCTGAGGACATGGAGACCTATGTTCGGAAGGAGGAGGACGCAGTAATTGCCAAGCTCAAGGAATCTCTCCGACCTTGTGTTGGTGTTGATGAGCAGCTCGAGAAGCTTGCTGCTTCTGGCAAGTACACCATGTCCGTGGTTTCTTCCTCTGCCCTCCGCCGTGTCCGTGCCTCCATCGAGAAGGTCGGTCAGGACAAGTATTTCCAGGGCGATGTTGTCTTCTCTGCCGCCACAAGTCTCGAGAAGCCCACCAGCAAGCCTGATCCCGCTATCTACCTCCACGCTCTGGAGAAACTCGGCAAGAAGGCCGAAGAGGCTGTCGCTATTGAGGACAGCAAGAGCGGCACTCTTAGTGGTACTCGGGCTGGTATCAAGGTCATTGGTTATGTTGGCCCTTATGCTGAAGACAAACAGCCCGAGATGGAGAAGACTTTGACTGACGCTGGTGCTGTTGTCATCATGCGGCACTGGTCCGAGTTCCCTGCTGCTCTGCAGAAGATTGAGGCAGGCGAGGTCTGAAGAAACGAGCTTTGTTGTTGAAATTGCTTTGAGGAATACCCAAAATACATATCGGTCAAATAGCGAAAGAGATGGAACAAATCACCTAGATAAACTGAACTAATAAACTTTACCAACCTTCTGCCCTGTTGTGGTAACCATTGGCCATTCGAGACAATGTTGAAACTGAGACACGACGCAGCTTGTTGTCTCAGATAAAAGGTCATTGTCTCATGATTAACTTGTTGATCTCGAATATATATATATTCTATTTGAATTGCATCATTTTCGCCAGTCCATTAAAAAGCTGTTGACACTCTGTAGAGTGGCCCGGCTGGGGTTGGCGCTCGGGTAAGCTGTCATGATGACACCCAATCTCGACTTTATGAAAGTCTTTGTAAATGAGGCGTCTTCTGTTGATTTTCTGATGTTCCCGTCATCATCAAATAGGTAGCATGATATCGCAAGGGCCACGCCGACTGATAGATCTCGCCCTGATTCGCATGCCACCACAATTAGTTGCTGATCAGGCTCTGTGGCCGAGGCAAGATGTTTAGCAGCAAAGTCGCATATTTCAGGTAGAGAAGTGCGAAGGTTGCGACTAGCCAGCTTGTTTTTGCCAAGGCCGGCTTGCATGTAAGTCTTGGATTTTATCCAGCTATCCTTTGGTGTGGTGTCTTGAGTTATGACAATGCGACATTCTAAGGGGTTGGCGGGAAGTGGTAAAGGGCAAACTGAAAGGTTTTGTGTCAGCTTTATCTGTATTCCTTCGTCCTTCTTGCTAGCAGCATGATCGCCGACTAGTCTGGAGATCAGATCTGGCAGTTCAGCCTCCGGCGTCTTGAGAAGCTCATCAATATTCTCCCAAAACAAAGGCGCTGTAAGATCATGCGCCCACATCTCAGTATCGTCAGCCGCACCTTGTATATATCCTCCCTCGTCCATCTCGCTGCCTACAACTCGGCGACTAGCCGTGCAGCATATGACAGGGCGGAAGTCGTCAAATATGGAGGATGTGTCTTGGACAGAAGGAAGAGATGAGTCTGGGGTGACCCAGAATGGGCGGAGTGGTTTTGTCAGACATGTTGGAAGATTGAGATTGAGTGCATTGAAGGAAGCAACGAATCCAGGGATGAGTGCGCATATTTGGGAGTGTGTTGTTGCTGGGAGGTGAACTGGCAGATAGAGATTTGCTGAGGATGGGTTTGAGGGTAGAAGAGTTAGGTTGAGGACTGTGCACCAGATAGGAATCGTCGATGAAAGGGCATCAGGCATCCCTATGTAAGTCAGTCGTCACTGTTTCCGAGGCTCTGGTTGTCATGAGAGAGAACATACTCTTTCCACGGCGAGTAGAGTCGACGATTATGATACTGTCATCATGTTAGATCTCAGATAACGGGACAATAACTAGGCCTCTATACATACCCATCATTGTTCTCAATAAGGTCAACCAAATGCAAGTTCAACCTCCTAGTGCTAAATTTCCACGCCCTCTCATGGCCATCTGTACTCTTGAAATACGCACTTGCACCTTTACGCTCAGGCGGAATATACCAACTTCCACAACGTTCATTAGCCACAAGTGGTCGCGGGCTATAGGCCTGAGACACCGCATCCACAAAGTCTGCGTCGGTTTGGATGCTAATCAGACGGTTGTGGATTGTAAGTGTGGTGCGTTTGAAAGACGCCATGAGTTGGGACATGGACAGTTGTTCATTTTGAGGGAGTATCAGATCGGAGAAGCGGGGTTCAGGCATGATGGATATACGGGGAGAAGATGTTTTATGCGAGGTTAGCTTGAGCTTTTATGTAGTGAGAAGTATTGAAAGATCAAACCCGGCTTTGTAATGAGGGTATATAGGGTGTGATGTTGAGTTTTTGGTGGAGCTTAAGAGTTTAACTAAAGGGCATGGTGTTTTAGTATCCACCCCGCATTAGACTCTGAGCATAATCATATTCACTAAGGAACCGGTAGATCACTTCTTAAAAGGTTGCAATAACAAAAGACTTGATCATTACTTTTGGCCGTAATCCATCAGACATTTCTACACGTAGCATATGGTATATATCTTTCCCCTATTCCTTTCCTTTCATCCATTACTCCAGCCTCCACTTGCCGTTCTCGACAACAATCTTGACCTCTCGGTTCTCATCAATACTTCTTCGGCCAGCCTCAAGAATAGCCGTTGTGGCAATAGTGTTCTTGAGAGTAGGGAGAGGCTTGGCGTCAAGGTCCTCAGGCTTGAGCTTGCCAGAGTTGACAGCTCTGCAACCATCAACAAACTTCTCAATAGAGATGTAACCATAACCAGTCTGGCCAGCGAAGTTGCCATCCTCATCAGGAGCATACTTCATGTAGAAGGGGTTGTACCACATCAATTGACCGATAGAGTCGTCTGCGACGTCGTAGCCACGCTTGGCCTGGTCGACACGGATCTCACCGTTGGCAGCGAGGTAATGGAAGTATTGGTTCGAGTGGACACCGGCCTTTTGAGGAGCAGTCCACGAGGCTGTGTAGACACCAACGGCTCGCTTGCTGGGCTCGCCGTTCTTGTTCCAGGTGACGAGAAGGGAGATGGTATCCTCGGTGATGGGGTCGCAGCCTAGATCAACAGCAACACCCTTGGAGGAAGAGGCGTTGACGCTCACGGGCACATATCCGCGCTCCTGGACCATTGAGTCGCAAATATCGATGTGGTGGCTGTTGAGGTAGTAAGAGATATCAGACTCCTTTCCAGCCCAGGCCTTGAAAGTCTCGAGCTGTGATTTGGGCTGAGACATGTAACTGTAGAAGTAGTTGAAGTCGCCGAGCTTCTGAGCTTTTGCGCGAGCATCAGCGTAAGCAGGGTCGTAACGCTTGTGGTGCTCAACGTAAACGTAGACACCCTTCTTCTGGGCGAGATCAACCAGCTCCTGGTGCTCCTCGAGGGCCTTGACAGCGGGCTTGGTGATCATGACATGGATGCCGCGCTCAATGGCGTACTTTGCGATGGGGAAGTGGGTAGGGTCGGGGGTGAAGATTGTGATGGCATCGCCAGGCTTGAGAGCGTCAATGGCGGTTTTGTAAGCGTCGGGGTCGACCTTGTCGTTTGCAGGGAATGAGTCGAAGGAGGTGTCGAGGTTGTTGTAGACTTGTTGGATGTTCTTGTTGAGATGTTCGCCTGGGGGAGGTTAAGTCATGAGCATGACAATATTGTCTGGAGGATACTTACGAATAGCAGGGAACTTCTTGCCATTGACGCCAACCATGCCCAGCTTGTTGACCTTTTCGCGACGGCGCAGATCAAAGAGACTGAGACCAACGACGCCAACCTTCTTGTCTGAGCCAGAAGCACCGCCACCGACGAAACCGGTGGTGTACTCTCCAGTACCAATCTAAAGGTTTCGTGTTAGTAACCTGGCATGAATTGAGTGTGGGAATGTTGTTCTTGGATCAACTCACCATGAGAACATTGAGAGGCTCCATTGTGATGTTATGCCGAGGGGCAAGGCGGGGGAGGGGCAGAAGCTATGATGGGATCAAAAACAGGGTATGAGGGTATATAAACGAGTCCCAAATTACGTATGAACGTGTACGGAGGTCAAATGAAATGCGAGAGGGTGTAGAGACGAGGTCTAGAGTGCAATCATGAGAAGATGGACATGAAGGTTGAATACTGTTCTTATGAATGCTCGCTCATGTCTCCGCTAGCTTGGAACAAAAGCTGGGGGACAGTTCGGGGTTCTCTCCGGACGTGATTGGAGGGAAAATGAGTCCCCGCGTCGATTCCCCCCAATCTCAAGCTAGAGAGATTGACAGCTTTGGGAATATGGAGTCATGATGCCGGATAAATCTTGTGTCGAGGTGCTCATGTGAGTGTGGGGATGATACAGCTTCGCAGAAATCTGGGGCAGAAAGTGGTAGGGGAAGAGATGAGACTGAATCCTTGAGATGATGGTGCCATTGCTATGTATCCTGTTGCGGTCGATTCGGTGATCATATTGGTGGTGTTTGTCTCACATCCATAGCTAACATCGGCGGCGGGGAAATCCCCTCGTGCTATGACAGAAACCGTCAAAATTGGAGAGAATGAATGATCTTCACAGTACATAATTTACAGTGGCGATAGGTTATCATGACAGCAATTCTTGAGAGTACTGGATTGATGAAGGATAGATCGATTCATTTCCCATTCTGACTAGAGAGGTATTTCTCACAGGAACCATAAGTTCGATGGAGCGTCTAGAAGCCAGAACCACCAGCCCCCAAACCCATGAGGATCATCACTCTAAATTGCCATGGGTTGCGAGGTGCAGTGAGGGGAGAGGGGTTCAGACTACAGAGAATTAGTACTTTGGAGGGGGCCGATATCCCCCCCACCCCCACGGCACTAGAATCCCCGGCTCATGACCGGAAGCAATGGTAATCATGGGTGATATGATTTGATGTTCACAGCAGCAGAGTTTATAGTAACAGCTTGTGAACTATCAGTCGAAAGGTTTCAGCGTCGTATATAGATTGTTGATAATATCAATTGTCGTCACGCAATCAAGTGCCGAAAGTCTATCAAAAAGCTTACTCACATCCAGTTCCAAGTAAATTGATAGGTACAATATCAATCAACTTTAAAGTCTCGTGACTTTGACCCCTCACGTAACACGGCATCAGGTGCCACGTTGGGGGTACCATCGCCAGAAATTCTCCGCCCACTCAGAGCCAGACTTTGACTTTTACCCCATCAACACCAAACGCCAAATTCCTCACCTCGACAATTTACAGTACACTGCCAAGTAAGTAACTAACTCGGGCGCGCACACACTCGGTGCAAGTACAGTACAGACGTGTACAAGCACAAGCACAGCCCGGTCACCTTCCGGTCAGTCTCGATAAACCATGCACTTTGCCTCTCTTACACACCGTGACGCCGCAAAATACAAGCCTTGGTCAGCTCGGGGTCCAAGGCAAAAGGGTGACTCTCCACCTGGACCTACTGTAGAGCTCATATCCCGGCCGGCTAATCGACATCAGCGCGGGATGTTAA